AGACTGAGGTGAACTTGTTGTTGCTTAGGATGACGCGTGGCGTCGACTACGTAAAAAGGCTTTTACTTGATTTATACTCTCTTATCTACTGTTACGACAGATAACGATAATCCTGTTACGTTATAAGCAGTGACACTGAATCCACCTCTAAGGCATCAAAATGTGTCAACCAAAATATAGAGTAGAGTTATTTAAGAAGATTGGTATTTTAAGTCATTTTATTGTGCATGCCATGTTTGTAGCATGGTATGCTAAAATTATCTTATGTTAGGTGATTAACTTCCAAATATTATTTGGAATATGTTAAAGAGTATCAATTAATCAATAAAAATTGTGCTTATTTCGTACTTCTTTACCCATTGCTTCCTTTACTTTTGATTTTTATTTTTTGCTACATGTTCAAAAATATTTTTGCTTCATTTATCCATTGGTTCGAAATATTATCGAACCAAAAGCAATACGCGTTTTTGATATATAAATATAGTGAAGGTCTTTTACTTTTTTTTCCCTCTCTCTCTCCTTCTCGGATCATTTATTAGGAACCTTTCCAATATCCCATATGACATTTATGACAAAAAAATCTAGTACTATTTGTGATCTTTCCTTTGAAGATTTTGTTGGTACAAGATATTGTAGTTAACCTTATGACAAATACAATGAATAAAAACAGTAGTGCTAATTGAATAAAAAGTTAAGAAATACTGCATTGTACCCCATTTAAAATACAATGCATGTACAACACTAGCAAAATATAAATTAATACAAAATGTAAAAAATATAGATTTTTTTCTTGGAATAATTTGCATGAAACAGGATCGAAATGCTAAAGAGGTCATAAAATTCGAACTTTATAAATAATAAATAAAGTAAACATGAAATAATCATGGCCAACTTCATACAAAACTTGATATTCAAAATGCAAAACAAAGTCTATATCTCTTGCACACCAAAACTTATAGCAAATACTTTTCTAATATAGGAGAAAATAAAAAATAAAACTGACATAATCAGTTTGTAACATTTTTTGATAACTTCATCCCAATAAATATTGTCGCTAACATAGCAGATGAAATAGCACTTGCTGCATTTTTATTTGTTACCACTTCTACACTTTCTTCAACAGTCGAGCTTGAAGATGGCTCTTCCTGTGAACAACTTATTGTTTGAAATTTGTTGAAGGATTCTAAGGCTTCATCATAACATTGGAAAGCTTGGAGGCAGCTACCCTCGACTCCAACAATCATATTAACACACTCATACCAACATCTGTATAATCTCGGCTTCTTACCATAAAATACAACAAACACCATTGATTTGAGAATTTTTTGTTTATCTTCAATTGATTTTTCAAATTCGTTGAACGCAGATATGGCCACATCATGAGATTTGAAAGACTGAAAGATGCTACGCTTAACCCTTGATAACCATATGAGAACATTCACTCAATGAGTAGTATATTCCTAGCCTTTTACCAGAAAATACAACATACATTTTTGAAGTAGTATTCTTCTTCGACTGCACCATTGTAGATTCCTTAATCTATTTACTCACACTTAGAAGAACATAGGAGAGTAAGAGATGAAGAAACAATCAAATATGAGGTTTGTTTAAGTATTAGGGCCTTGAAAAGGGATAAAATATATCTTAGGGTATTGTGTTCGACCGTCTAGGGTTGTTTAAATATTAGTGTTTTGAAGACCTTATTATACGAAGATATACGAAAGATAAACAAAATACACAATCAAGTATATGTATATAGATGAAGAAATTCGAAATACATACGCGTATAGTACAAAAAAGATGAAAAATACATTTATGGGAAATAGGGTTTGCATGCTTGATATTTTCCATGTATTCGGAAGACAAGCATTCAATGGATGAGAGAGAAATAAGGAGAGAATTTTGAACCCTAACGGGAAGGGCAGTTTTGACATAGGATTAGCGAAACCCTAATTTGAGTGTAATTTTATATTAATAACCCCATTTGGGCCATTGTGGCCAAAAAGAGTGGCAGAAAGGAATTTCTCGTGTTAAAATATACCCTCGAGAAGCATATTGGTCAAAGGTTTCATCAATTTCGCCAATACCTAATTGTTGCTTTTGCTACTTTTAAAAACACAAGTTTTCTATGAAAACGCATGGCTAACTACTCTTTTATATTTTAGTTTCCATTAATTTTTTCTATCTTTTATATATGAAAATGTTCTCAAAATATTTCTCTTTGGAACTTGTAGCCCTGAGCATAAAGCATTCCATATTTACGCAGAGTTTGGGAAAGTATCGCATTCCAAGTGGTGTAATGCAGACAATCTACCATAATCCAAGTATTAGTGACTGCTTCTACGACTTGAATTCCGTGACATGCAGAGGCGGATCTAGAACTTTTATAATATGGGTGCACCACTAAAGAAAGGAGAAAAAATAAAGTATTAAGTGGAATTGATCTTCGCTCCTCTAGATAAATAACTCAGTATTCAACCAAGATCACTATATAACATTTTTAGAGTATGGTTGCCAGAAGATAATATTAAATTAATTCTAAAAAATATATACATAAAATCCTAGTTTGACGGATAGATCATGAGTTCACGTGCCCTATAAAGTGACTATAAATCCACCATTGATCACATGGTAACAACTTTATTGTTGCTCCAAGACTCTCCTTCAAATTAAAAGACATGTATAATTAGAAATTGAGTTACCACTAATAGCATCCTTTCGACCTTTTTTTCCACTTCCGTACAATCAAATATTTTTCAGACCCCACTTATGAGATTTTATTGGGTTTATTGTTGTTGTTTTACATTCAAAGAAATAGAAAAATAAATGAATGTTATATGTACTTCCTCCGTTCACTTTACTTGTTCACTATACTAAAAATACATTTTCACTTTTACTTATCCATTATACTAAATCAAGAGAAAGACAACCTTTTTTTCCTGTTTTACTCCTTATTATTAACTAACTACTATTCATTTCCCAAATTATTTTTCAAGACTTTTAAAAACACTATTATTATTATGGATAAAATTATAAAATATATATTTTATCTATTTTTCTTAAAAGGAGTACAAAGTCAAAAGTGGATAATTAAAAATGAACGGATGGAATATATAGACCTCTAAGCTAAAAGAACTGCATAGAGATGCAAGACCTATTTTGTCAACAACTAAACACAACTTGATGGGCTTAAAATGTCTAAACAAGTAACTATCATTAATCAATTTCTAACTAACACATTTATTCTTCGACACACAAAGTCTTTGCCAATGGGTCCCCTCATTCAACCTCTCTTTGTCCTGAACCCTTTAGACTTCATTACAATGTGGATAAAGACATTAAATTTGATATCAAATTTATACATAGCTGCTATCTAAAGCACATAATAGTAACTGCTAATTGAAATTAGAGTCCAAATCATAATAATTGTATATATTTTGAATATTCCAAATAGATTTAATCTTCCTTAAGTAGCTTCAGTTATTGGGAAAAGTTTTGAGGAACAAGTTTCTTTGGCATAAATGGTATGCAATAGCTCCTTTAAAGTAGGGGCGTACAAACCGAACCGGAAAATCGCACAAAATCGAAAAGTCAAATCAAACCGACAAAAAAACTTGATAAGGTTTGGTTTGATTTGGTTTGGTATTGAGTAAAAAAACTCGAACCAAACTGACATATAAATATATAATTTATATATATATATTTTTTAAGACTTTATATAGAATTTTCTTTAAAAAATGTCTAGAAATATTTGGGATTCTCTTGTGGGATGTAATATTTAATAGAAAATGAAGTGCTCCATTTTTATTAACTTTAAATAATGTATTGTATGATCACTTTCTTATCGAGTGTTATTAAAATGCGTCAATCTCTTTGTTCTTTCATATTCATATGTCAAAATCTAATAAATTCTTATAATTTTTCAAATTTGGAGTGGTATTTCGATAATTAAAAATTAAATAGTACATATCATTATTTAGGTTTCATATTGATTTTTATATTTAATTATTAAATTCGGTTAACCTTGAAAGTGTACATCAGCGAAAAGTTATTGTCACACAACTAAAAAATAAATGTCATGTGCTACTAAGAAAATTACCCCATAAGAATATTTTAATAGATCATATATTTGTCAATTTTTTTAATTTTTATTAAACATATATTTACTTATCGAAAATTTGTCAAAGTAAGATTGACATATTATTCATGTAACAAAAAAATCGGAAAAACCCAAAAAATCCGATAAAACCGAACCAATTCAAACCGATATAGTTGGTTTGGTTTGATTTTAATAAAAATAGAATCAGCTCGGTCTATGTACACCCCTACTTTAAAGGGGTGTAATTCAATGCCGTTTTGATAACATTCACTAAATATGGATGTAAAATTATATTTTTTATTCATATGTATATGTACAATAGACCGAAGAGCTTAAAAATATTTAAAATAAACATTAATTTAAGAAAGGAATAGACCAAAAGCAAGTACGCTCTGTTGTGATAATTAGACTGATACCATTTGTGCAAAATTCAATTTACATCACTGATTGTATGTTAAGACAACAATTTGTGAAAATGTTATTGAAATAAGCCGTTGAAAACATTTTTGAACTTGAAGAGAAAACTACGTGCGTATTATAAAAGAGGTGTCATTCAATAAACAAGTTGAGATTAGAGTTTTGGAGAAATATTCGAAAATCTAAACGAATAATGAGATAAAAAGAAACTATTTATTTAATTTATTCCTTAACGTTGAAAACAGACGAACTCGTGAGTGGACTTGAAGATCTTATGTCTGCCACCATATCTCTTTCCACGGTAGACTTTCTAACTCAAACCCTTTTAAATGACAAAAATACCCTTAACCAAACTCAATAACACCACCGATGTGTAGGAAACAAGATTCGTAACCAGGGAACAAATCTATAAGGTTAAAACAGTAAATCCAATATGTACCCTTTATATCTAGTCCGTGTGTGGCAGCTTTTTACAGATGTTCAGACAAACTTTCATTTTCCTCTTGTACCTATTTTTTCTACTCTGCAGTCTACACTGAATTTCTCAAAAGCAGAACTACAAAAATTCTCTTAACTATTCAATGTTTCTTAAGCACCACAATCTCTTCTTCAGCTAACGCAAAGTTGTAAATTCATCAAAAATGGTGCCACAGATAGTTCTCATTTTACTTATTTCAATGGCATTTGGGGTCACTTCTGTTCCAAATGCTAGTTCAGAAATAGCAAAATCAAGAAAGCATAATGTAAACATGACCCATGTAGCTGAATCCATTGAAGAGTTTTTTCCAACTGGAAGAAAGTTGGGATCTTTGGAAGGGAGCAGAAAGTTGGAATCTTTTAACAAATCTCGAGTTGTACTAAGTGGAAACATCACTATCTTGAGCGAAAACAATACATTTGAACTTGGTTTTTTCAAAACCAATGATGAAAACAGATGGTATTTGGGTATTTGGTTTGCTTCAGTTCCTAGTCCCACTTATGTTTGGGTTGCGAACCGTGAAAGACCAATCAAAAATCCATCTTTAGCAACTTTGGAGATTACTAAGGATGGAAAATTAGTTCTTAAGCAAGATTCAAGAACCATTATTTGGGAAACAAGTAACTTGGATAAAGCTAGTGATATAAAGCTTTTGGACCAAGGAAATTTGGTGCTTGTTTCTACTGAAGGTAACTTGATATGGCAAAGTTTTGATTTTCCTACAGATACTTGGCTTCCTGGTATGAACTTGACTGCTACAAAATGGCTTACATCTTGGAAAAGTTCCACTGATCCATCACAAGGAAGGTACTCCCTAAGGCTTCAACCCTCAAGTTATGGTGAGATAGTTCTTGTTTATAATGGTACTTATCCGTATTGGTCAACTGGGAACTGGACTGAAAATGCATTTGTTGGGGTACCAGAAATGACTGTACCTTACATTTACAAGTTCAATTTTGTAGCACCCTTTACTCCTATGGCTTCATTTGGGTACTCTGAGGTGCCGATAGAGAATGGAGTGCCACCTCCTTTAACTAGGTTCATTGTAGATTTTACTGGACAGATTAAACAGTTCACTTGGTTCCAACAAGCACAAAGTTGGAACATGTTTTGGTCACAGCCAGAGAATCTGTGTAAGACTTATGGTTTGTGTGGGAATTTGGGGTTTTGTAATAGTAAGACATTGAATCCGTGTAAGTGTTTGCCAGGTTTCAACCCTTTGGATAGTGATTCATGGGATGCAGGGGATTTTTCAGGCGGCTGTCGTCGCGAAAGCAATGAGATGTGTAGTAAGAAAGATGGATTTGAGGAGGTTGGAATAGTTAGTTATGACGGAGCTAGGGTAGTTTCAATTACTGAAACTAGAAGTGAATGTGAGAAAGAATGTTTGGGTAGTTGTTCTTGTATTGGTTTGTATCACAATGAGAGGACTAAGTTATGCAAGAATTTATATGGGTCATTGCTCAATCTTAGAAACCTTACTTCTGATGGCACTATTGAGGATAAGCTATATGTAAGAGTTCAGGGAGGAGGGAATACTCAAAAGAAGCAGATTCAAGGCAGATTACTTTTGATCGAAATGATATGTGGATTTGTGGTAATTCTGTCAGTAGGAATTGGGACTTTCTTGGTATTGAAGAGGAGAAGAATAAGGAAGAAGAATAAAGAAGAGGAAGATGTATTTCCTATAATGAATTTGAAGGTGTTTTCATACAAAGAGCTGAATGCTGCAACAAAGGGATTTTCGGAGAAACTTGGACATGGTGGTTTTGGAACTGTATTCTTAGGGGAACTATCGGATTCTTCACTCGTGGCTGTGAAGCGACTTGAAAGACCTGGTGGTGGTGAAAAGGAATTTCGAGCTGAGGTATGCACAATAGGAAACATTCAGCATGTTAATTTAGTGAGATTGAGGGGATTTTGCTCTGAGAATTCTCATAGGCTTCTGGTTTATGAATACATGCCAAAGGGTTCTCTTAGCGCATATTTAAGGCGAGATGGTCAGAACCTAAGTTGGGATGTTAGATTTCGAGTTGCTGTAGGGACAGCAAAAGGTATTGCTTATTTACACGAAGAGTGTCGTAGTTGTATAATACACTGTGACATTAAACCAGAGAATATTCTGCTAGATGAAGATTTCTCAGCAAAGGTTTCGGATTTTGGGCTTGCAAAGCTCCTCGGTAGGGACTTTAGTAGAGTGTTGGCTACCATGAGGGGTACTTGGGGATACGTTGCACCCGAGTGGATCTCTGGTTTGGCGATCACAACAAAAGCCGATGTATATAGCTATGGCATGACATTATTGGAACTGATAGGTGGTCGACGCAATGTAGAAGCACCACCTTCAGCTAAAGGGGAAGAAGGTGGAACAGAGGAGAAGTGGTTTTTCCCGCCTTGGGCAGCACGCCAGATAGTCGAAGGAAACACTGCAGCTGTCATCGACGAAAGGCTATGTGGAATGTACGATGTGACTGAGGCAGAACGTGTGGGATTGGTAGCGGTTTGGTGCATTCAGGATGATGAATCAATGAGGCCTTCCATGGGAATGGTGGTGAAAATGTTGGAAGGAGTAGTTGAAGTGGCAATGCCTTCACCTCCAAAGCTGCTCCAAGCATTAGTATCGGGCGAATCATTTCATGGGGTAGGAGTTGATTCTGATAACGGGACATCACGAGGGACATCGCGAGGTGGTGGTTTCAGCTCAGGTTATAATCCCCAACCCTCAATAGTATCCGGGGAATCTCAAGCTTCAGTTTAGGTCTGTTTCTCAACTAGTCATTGTCTAATTGTTGGAGGAGGTAAAAGTTGCAAAGAGCTTCTCCTATGGAAGAAGATTTTTGCCAAGCTTCACTGAATGTAGAGTTTCTTTCCCTGTTTTCCCCAAAATCCCATACTGAGAATTAGTAGCAAAATGCTCATCATGGGATTTTGTAAAATGTATTCATGAATGTAGAGAATCTTTTTGCATGGAATCTTAGCTTAAGTTTACACCATTTTCTGTAAAGTGCAAAGTACAAAAGCAAAGCAAAACGGACATACCACTTTGCAGAAATGTAATGTTTGGATCAGAGAATTTTAGGAGGGTGAAAACTCCAATTGTGAAAATGCCTTGAACAAATTAAGGATTAATGGTAGATGGGGTATTTGAGTAGTAAATGCAAGTTCATTTCATTTTTGGAGAATCCGTTCTCTGTTCATGCAGTTCAAGCTACTATCCTCCCAAAAAATACATACTCGCATCTACTGTTTACTCCAAACAAAACAATTTAACTGTAAGACATGAATGAGATTAGTCGAATGGTTTCAATTGGAGATGGAATTGTAAGTATATTATATATATATGTATCGGACGAGATTCAAGTTGAAAAATTGGTTGTACCTGTCTTTGTTTGTGGTTACTCTTGTACTCCATATACCCCGCCACAATCAAGCTTGGAAAAGAAGACCAAGGGATCGGTTGATTCACATACTAATTGTGCGGGGATTATAATGTAGGAACTGTTTTAAGAGGTCAATAATGATGAGGCTATGGTTATGGGGTAAATAATAATGTAGAGATTGTTAAGAGGGTACTGCTTATTTTAGGAGTTTTATTTTTAATCTTAATTACTCTTATCTACATATTTATAACTAGTGTATTTGGCGCGGTTGTAAAAAGAATTAAAAAAATAGTTAAATGGGAATTTCATAAATTTTTCTAATAGAAAATCAACTTTTTTTCAAAATAAAAAAATTGAACGAAAAACTACAAATTTGAGCATTCAAGACCATCTTATCAGTAATTGTATGATGTATTTGAGCAATGTGAGGATTGCGTTTTGCGACACTGCTGCTTGCTTGGATGATTTACCCTTCTTAAGAAATGTTGTTAACGGGATAATATTTCAATTAAACCTTACTATAGATGAGAACTCCTTCAAATAACAAAAAGAAAATGATCAATATTTTCATCTAAAATATTAAGTTCTAGTTGTCATTGGTACCCTATTTTAGAGTGCCAGCTTGAGAGAGATGATGTAAAAATGCATGATTGTGACTTCTTTAGTCATACAAATAAATTGTTTAAGAGTAGATTAGATAAATAATCAAAACTTTTAAATATATGCCGAATATATATAAGGCTCCAAACATAGAATGATGATGATGATAATAATTTTAAAATTTTATACTATGATTTTTTTTTAAAATATTATAGAAGTTACTACTAACAACATAAGGGTGGACATTTTTCTGTAGCCATTATTTTTTTATATGCTTAGCCCATGTAAAATGTATTTATTTTATTATATTGTCTGACTTGGTTGTGACGATCTCACATGTCAAGTACTTACTAAGCATGATATATACATCTTCTTTTGTATTAATGTGTGATTGGAATGATCGATAATGTTTGGAAAATGTTGCATTAAAAATATGTAATATTTTTAATAATAGAATGAGAAATGACCAAACAATAAGGTAGAGAATTTATAAAGCTAATTTAAAATAATAATAAGCATAAAATTATGAAAATTAGAAGGTAGAGAAAGTTTTCTATTTGTTTTCCACTAATTCTAATATCCATTAAAATTTTCTACGTGAAAACTCATGTATAGAGTTCATCAATTAATCCAGTCGTAAGTTTCTTAGGTGCCATTATTCTCTTGCAATTAGTTGATCATCTCAACAATTGGTATGAAAACACCATTATTGTCATCATAGAAATTGATCAAAAAGGGAAATATAAGGGCAGAAGCTACAACAAAAGACTAACTTTGAGAAGTAGCTAGCAGTATTTGCTTAGTGTAACGACCCGACCGGTCGTTTTGAGCTCTAGCGCATCGTTCGGCAGTTTGAGGCCATAAGCAGCTTCACTTCAAGTATTATGACTTGTACGCCTGGTAGGAATTGAATTTCGGGAAATTCGGAGTTGAATTGGAAAGAAAATTCTCATTTCGAAAGCTTTAAGTTGGAAGAATTGACTAAGATTGGATTTTAGAGTAAACGGTCTCGGGATCAGGATTTGAAGGTTCCAGTAGGTTCGCATGATGATTTTGAATTTGGGCGTATGTCCAGGTCGAATTTTGGATGACCCGGGAGCGTTTCGGCACCTATTGTGGAAGTTAGCACTTTGGAAGAATTTCATGAATTTGGGGTGGAGGTGAATTTATGTTATCAATGTCCGTTTGGGATTCCAAGTCTGGGAATGGCTCCGTATGATAATTCTGGTGTTGGGAGCGCGTCCGGAAGTGGATTCGGAGGTCCATAGGTCATTTTGGAGTCATTTTGCTAAAGTTAGAAATTTGAAGGTTTTTGAGAAGTTTGACCGGAAGTGAAATTTTTGATATCGGGGTCGGAATCCGATTCCGGAAATTGGAGTAGGTCCGTAATGTCAAACGTGACTTGTGTACAAATTTTGAGGGCAATCGGGCGTGATTTGGTAGGTTTTGGCATCTAATGAGGAAGTTTGAAATTCTAAAGTTCATTAAACTTGGAATGGGGTGCGATTCATGAATTCGACGTTGTTTGATGTGTTTTGAAGGCTCGACTAAGTTCGTAATGTATTTTGGGACGTGCTAGTATAATTGGTTAAGGTACTGAGGGCCCAGAGTGAATTCCAGGTAGTTAACGTATCGAATTTGAAATTTGAAGAAGGGCTGAAGCAGCTGAGCATCTGGTGTAACCGCACCTGCGTGAAAAGGGCCGCAGGTGCGGGAAAATGGCTCGCAGAAGTGGAAGGGGCAAGCTGCTGAGAACCGCATGAGCAGAAAGATTTGTGCACCTGCGAAGGCGCAGGTATGAAAAGAGTAGCGCAGGTGCGAGAATGTTGGGCCGAGCTGGAGCCGCACCTGCGATGGGATTTCCGCAGGTGCGGGACCGCAAATGCGACCAAGGCACCGCAGGTGCGAACGTCGGGGTTGGACAGTGTGTTATTTAAAAACGAGGGCTTGGCTCATTTTCACCCTATTTTCTCCATGAGAGCCGGTCTTGGAGCGAGGTTGGAGCTCATTCTTCGTCAACAATGCCAAGGTAAGTGATTTCCACTTATTATAAGTTAAATACATGATTTGTATAAGGATTTAAACATGAAAATTAGTATAAATTGTGGGAGTTTTGGTAGAAGACCTAGAATTTGATATTTTTGGATTTTGACCACGAAATTGGGCATGGAATTGAGAATAAACTATATATTTTAGTTCGTGAGGTTATGGGTAAAGTTTATCTTCGAAAACTTTTGGAATCCGGGCACGTGGGCCCGAGGGTGATTTTTATCGACTTTTCGATCAGAGTTAGAAATTATTATAAATTGGATTATATTGAGTATTTTAGTATATATTAACGGGTTTGCATAACCATTGGCTAGTTTTGGAACGTTGTGCATCGATTCAAGTTGTTTGAAGGACTCGGAAGCCGGTTATGGAACTTCGGAGCGATGCAAGTCTCCTTTCTAATCTTGTAAGAGGGAATTAACCCCATACGTGAACTAAATTATTATGTGCTTCTATTTGTGAGGGCTACGTACGCACGAGGTTATGTGAGTCCGTACGTCGCTACTAACTATGCCTATGTCCGGGTAGTTTTAGGCTTACATCATGCCTTATTGTTATTGTTGTTGAATTTATGTTTATTGTTTGCCTTGAAAGGAAGCGAGATTGAGTTAGCTTATTAAATATTTCGAAGGGAGTTGAAATTGAGGAAACATTGGGAACTTAAAGGTTTTCATTTGTACTTCATATTTGTTTTGAAAGAATTGAGGAACACCATAATAACTTAAGAAATCTATGTGTAACCGCGTCACATATGTGTTTCACGAGCGAGGTAATTTCCTTAAAAAGCTACAAGCTGAATTTTCCTTGTTTTGAAAAGAACCAAGAATGAGATATGATTTTAATGTTAAATTTATATTTGACCACGTCACAAGTATGATCCGCGAGTGGGGTGATTCCTTAAATTTATGTTTGACCGTGTCGCACCTATAATTCGCGAGCGAGGTATTTCCTACTACTCTTATGGGATCGGGCCGTTCGCCTCGGCAGGATTTATGTACCACACTCTCATGGGAGCGGGCCGTTCGCCTCAGCATGTTAATAGATGCATCTATAGTTCGCGCCGTTCGACCCTCGGCAGTGCACAATTTACTTTTATGTTGGATCGGGCCGTACGCCTCGGCATTTTCTATATATATATAATTCTTATGGAATCGTGCGTAACGTTTGGCAAGAAGCCAGTGTATCTGAGGGTTTTTCCCTGATTTGGATTATGACAACCTCTTTGATGAAATCCACTACATCTATACATATGCTCCGGTTACGGAAGGGACTTGCTAGTTGAGAGCTTGAGTAAATTGTAAAGAGAAAAATTATACTACGTATTTTATACTTGTCTGTCTCATATTCATTCACTTCTTTACTGTACCTGATATTATTGGACCACTAGTAAGTGTCGAAGTAGACCCCTCGTCACTACTACTTCGGGGTTAGGCCGGATACTTACTTGGTATGCGTTGATTTACGTACTCATACTACACTTGTTGTACATTTTTGTGCAGGTACACATATGTTTAGCGGCCTTGTGGGTGCTGAGGCGAGATTATGGAGGGGACTTAGGTGAGCTGCATTTTGTACGATGTACCGCAGCCAGCAGAGTCTCCTTCAGAGTATTGTATTTTCTTTCCTGTCCAAGTTGTATTACGGACAGTTATTGTATTTTATTTTAAATTTCTAGAAAAGGCTCATGCACTTGTGACACCGGGTTCTGGGATGATTATGGGATGTTCACTATTGGAATTAGAAAACATTGTTATTTATTCTGTAAATTCATCTTTTACTAAATAAATTGAAATAAATTTACAATTTCAAAAATATTAAAATGAGGATTTAATTAAGTATTTATTGTTGGCTTGCCTGACAGTGGAGTCCGGCGCTATCACGACCTTTATGGATTTTGGGTCGTGACAACATGGTATCAGAGCACTAGGTTCACTTAGGTCTCACGAGTCATGAGCGAGTCTAGTAGAGTCTTACGGATCGGTACGGAGACGTCTGTACTTACCTTCGAGAGGCTATAGGACTGTTAGGAGCACTTCCTTCTTGATTTCTCATCATGCAATTTGATTCCTTTGAGGC